ACGAGGATACTCACCAGGGGTGCAAGGAATGCAGAGAAGCTCATTAAACAGGACTCCCAAACCTTCTCTGCTCCCAGCATTGGGCTTAAAAAGTTCAGGCCCCTGGGCAAGCTCTAGGGGGAAGAAATAACCTAATGGAATTAACATCCTTATAAAATAAATGACACAACACAGGCAAGTGCAATTTACTGGGACATCTTTCTTCCTCCTTTTTCCAGCCAGGCAGGAGGGGAGATGCTTGGCGTTCTCTTCACCCTGCCTTGCTCCCCGCCCCTCAGGACTTTCCCCCCGCCCCAAGGCTGGATGTGGCCCTGGTGACAGTCGGAGGCGGCCACATCGGGTGTCCCCGAGCAGGGCTGTGTGTGACACGGCAGTGAGGGGCACATGCCACCAGGTGTCCTCTTTGTACAGCCGCACACGGGCTGGAGCACCGGGGCTGGCGCCGTCCTTGGGGCACTCACGCTCACTGGTGCTCACACTCACACTCATGTGTAAACTCAGTCGTGCACACTCACTTGTGCACACTCACTTGTGCACACTCACACTCCCCGTTGCACACTCACACTCACTTGTGCTCGCTCACACCCACACATCTCACACCACCCGCATCCCCAGGGCCCACCAATGGTCCCTCCTGTGCCTGGAGGGCACCGTGGCCATCACTGAGGTGTCTGAGCTGCTGTGCTGGGCACAGAGGGAGAGGGGTGGGAGGGGTGGGCAGCTGTTCTGGAGGGCTTGAGCTGGGTGAAGGTGGACAGGGAGGGTGAGGGTGGACAGGGAAGGGTGAAGGTGGACAGGGAAGGGTGAAGATGGACAGGGAAGGGTGAAGGTGGACAGGGAAGGGTGAAGATGGACAGGGAAATGTGAAGATGGACAGGGCAGGGTAAAAGCGGGCAGGGAAGGTGAGGATGGGCAGGGAAGGGTAAAGGTGGGCAGGGAGGGGTGAAAATGGACAGGGAAATGTGAAGATGAACACAGAAGGGTGAAGATGAACAGGAAAATGTGAAGATGGACAGGGAAGGGTAAAAGTGGGCAGGGAAGGTGAGGGTGGGCAGGGAAGGGTGAGGATCTCCCCTCCAAGAGGGTGATAGGGGAGCTGCCAGGCTTGGAAAACAGGGGATACAGGAAGGAAAAGTGCCTCCCATCTTCTGGGAGCCCCAGGGAACAAACCATGTCCCGGACACAGCGATGAGTTATTCCTGTTACAGCAGTGATCCCAAAGGAGCCGGCACGTTTACACACAGGGCTTGTCACCAAATTCACCGCGAGGATCCTCTGGTGGCTGCTCGAGGGTTCTGCGGGGGATCAGCCTCGCGAGGGGCGCGGGCAGAGGGCAGAGCCCATCTGTCTGCTGTCACCGGCCTCATCAAAGCCTGGTAAAACAATGACGGAACCAATGGGCTGTGGGAGCAGGATTAGCTGTTTCTCTTGCCTTGAGCTGCGGTAAAGCTCATTCATCCGGCCAGAAAAGGGTCTCTCACTGTGAGGGGAGCAGAGCAGCACCCAACAGCCCTCAAACCCTGGAGAAAAGGGCTTTGAGGGCTCCCCAGAAGCCCCGCCAGCTTCCACCTCCAACAGGAAACTTCGACACTGGTGCAGACCTCCCTTCCACCCAGAGCCACCCTGTGAAAATCCCCCTTCCAGGAAGTCTCAGAGTGTCTCTGGGTTTTCTTAGCCCAATAAATAACTTCACTGAATTAAGCGAACCTCCTGAAATGATATATATTATCCTGCTTGCTTGATTGGCTGTTATTAATAATGCATTGCTCAATCTAAACCATTCATAAAACGACTCCCCGCCAGCCCCAAGCAAAGTGCTCTGGGACTTAGGAGGGGAAAAAAAAAAGGCAAGAAAGAGGAGCATAAATCCTTTCTGGTTATGAAAACGGATTTCTTCCCCCAACAATCATGCAAAACTAATTAGAGCCAGAGGGCTGGTTCCTCTGCGTTGATTGTGCCCTGTGGGATCACTCAGGTCTGCTGGCCAGGGTGGGGGAAGTCTAATGCAGAGGAGGATTTGCCTCTGCGAGCCTGGGAAAGGTTACCTGGATTACATTCCTAATAAAAACATAACTCTACTATCACCTGAACAGGTTTGCATCCCATGGAACATCAAGACAGAGGACGGGGTGGTCAGGACTCTTGAATATTTGGAGAAGTGGTGAGGCCAAGCTGAGGAAAGAGTTTTCTGGGTGGAAGGAGAAGCCACATTGTCTCTGGCCAGGCAGGTCCTGCAACCAGGATGCTCCCAGGGTGGTGGTTCATGTGTTCACCTGATCCTGGGGGGGTTGGAGAAGCCAGGAGAGCCCAGACTGGTGGCTTGGCCTCCTCCTTCTGAAGTAGGCAATGTCCCTGACCAGTGGGAGTTGTGTCTCTGGAGCTGCAATGGTCAACACCAGCCCCTACTTGCCACATGTTTAGGAGCACAATGAAACTTGGGGTGCCTGGGGCTGAGGCAAGTGAGGTGTGAGAAGGAGAAGTGGGCAGCTCCAGAGCCTGCTCTTCCATCTGTCCATCCATCCATCCACCCACTTATCCATCTATCCATCCATCCATCCATCCATCCATCCACACATCTATCTACTCATTTTCCCTCCCTCCCTCTCTCCTTCCCTCCTTGGAGTTCCCATCTGAGGGGACTGCAGAGCCACCAGAGCACTGTTGTTCCTCCCTGTTCTCAGCCCATGGGAAACTGAGGCACAAAGGGTGACGTGAACCCCTTGTGTCAGTTGGGGAGGGGTGAGTGGGGGTCTGGAGGGATGGTGTATCCCATGCCATGCTGCTCCATGCTCCCATGCCCTCCCAAGTGTCTAGGTGAGGGTCTGGCCCTCAGGAGCATGAGGAGGAATGTGTATCCATCTTGTCACACGTGCCTCATCCCTGACCCATTTCTAGCACAACATGAAATGTTCCTGAAATGCTGCCACTGTATCTAGGACACTTGGGTTCCTTCCTCTTGCATGATGGATGAAGGCATCATCCATCCCTTCGGAAGAGCTCAGCGGAGCGCCGTGGATAGCAGCCAAACCAGAAAACGAGTGTCCTCTCCCTGCTGGTCACATTCTTGTGGCATTTTTACCCCCTTCCATGCTCCTCAAAGCAAGTTTTCCATCCCTGTGTCTCCCACCTGAGCTCTGCAACCATGGGGCAACACTAGCATGGGCTAATCCATGGTCCTGCAACCCCACAGCAGCATGGGGAGCTTGGGATGTGGAACAACCTGGGTGAGGAGCAGGGTGGGTCTGTTTGGAGATGCTGAGCCCACAAGTGCTGCCCCACTAACCACAGAACTCCCTGCTGTGGGGCTCAGGAGACTGACAGCCCACGGGTGTTTGGAGGGTGAGCAAAATGAGGAAAAAATGCCTATAAACCACAACTCCAAATGCCTGATGCTGTAATTCCCTGAGCGCGGATGCTTGAGAGTGTCATGGTGAGGGTGAGGACATGCTGGGTGACCAGCCAGCCACAGGGGTGGGATGAGGATGAGTCATGGCTCAGATCCAAAGATGCTGAGAGCACCACGGCCGTTCAAACTCTGCTCCAGCAGGAAGGGAGACAGGGAAGTGCTGCCCTGTGGATGTATCCACTGGATTTGAAGCGGTGCCTCCCTTCTGTGTGGCCCCTCAGGGGACCACTGTACCAAGGTGGCCTTGCCCATCTGCTCGGGACAGTTCCCTTGGACCATTCCCAGGGCTTTCCTTGCAGAGTGTTGGTTGGGTTGGGCCAAATCTGTGCCGGGCAGCAGGTGTCAGGCTGGGGGACTTTGGACACGGCTCCTGGGAGGATGGGAGCCATCATCGAGGATCAAATCTGACATTTTGCTGTCAAGCAGCTTGTGCTCTGTCCCTCCAGTCATCATCCCCTCTCCGCTCCCTCCTCCCTCTCCTCGTCCTTGGAAGAACACGCCCATCCCGTGGCCTCGGGGCTGGGATGCGGAGCCGAGCTCCCGACGAGGGAGAGGTGGCCGGGCTTTTACTACGCCTGCGAGCAAGCAGGAAGGCGGCGGGGCCCCCCCTCAGATCCCCGGGGGTCCCCACGCCTGAAGCTCCCCGGGATGCGCCAAGTCCCCGTGGGGAATGGGGAAGGGGTGGTAGCCGCAGCTCTAGGCGGGGCCGCTGTCTGTCGCGACAGAGCCGGGTCGGGGACACCAGGAGGAGTGGACTGACCCATCCGAATCCATGATGAGTCCGCCTCGGCACCCCCAGGCAGAGCTCCCGGAGGGGAGAGGATGGAGGGATGCAGGGGGGAAGGGAGGGATGGCGGGAGACAGGAATCGATAACGCTCCCAAAATCAATGGTTTCTCGATGAGAGGAGCAGAACCGGGGGTGGAGGGGGAGAACAGCCCCACACGTCGAGGCGAAACTACGAGGGGAATAGGGGGCTCCCTGCACCTTTCCAAGGGGCTGAAACCTTCGGGAGGAAGCTGCGAGAGAACGGTCCCGTCTTGGGGACCCCCGGCAGCCCCCGTGTATTTCTCTCCCCTCCCATCTCCTAACCCCCTCCGTGTTTAAAAGAGCTTTTCATTCAATAAGCGCTGAGCGACGGGACCGGCTGGCACACGCCGCTCATCGCCCGTGGAAATACCGCATGGATCGGGCGTGGGGGGATGGCAGCACCGCCCGGGGACCGTGGGCGGGAGGGTCCAACCTCCGCATCCCCGTCCACAAACGCTCCACAAAGGGCTGCGACCCCGCGATGTCCCGGGAGGACGGGGGTAGCCGTGTCCCGCATCCGCCACGACGGCATTTCGGTCCCTCTGGGGGGGCACCGGGGAAGTCAGAACGGCGGGCGGCGGTAGGGGCTGTATGACGCCTGCTGCCAAGCGCGCGGAGTTGTACTCGTTGCTCTGCCGGGTGGGTGTTTATTTTGGTTATTTTGTATTTTTTAGGGGGGGAGTAGGAGGGTGCCGCGCCCGTCGCGGGAACAGCCGGCCCCGTCCTCGCCGCAGGCTGGCGAGCGGCGGCGGTGGGTGGGTGGTGGGATGGGAAAGGGGTGGCGAGGAGGGAGGGGGCAGCCGAGCGGAGGGGGAGGCTGGCAGAAATGCTAATTCCTCCCTTTCGCTGTCGCCTCGGCAGCCCAGTGCCCGTGCGGCCCCGCTCCGGCTCACAGCTCAGCCCGGAGAGGTGCGGGGGGACGGGTGGGGTCCCCCCGCCCCTCACCGTCGTGTCCGGGCTGGCGGAGGCTCCTCCGTGCCACAGGGACGGGGGTCGGGAGGAGGATGCGGAGGGCCGGTAACGGCGAGGAAAAGGGCTGCGTGTTGCTTAACGGCACTTAGGAGCGGGTAAGGTGCGGGGTCAGCCCCGGTGCGGTGCGGGAAGTGGGGGAAAGGGGCGAAGGAGGGAGTCGGGGACAGTGGAAAACAGGGAAGGAGAGAACTAGGGAGAAATGGAGATGGGAGGGAGAAAAGTGGGGACAGGAAAGATGAAAGAAAGGAAGGGAAAAAAAGAAAAGGGAAAGAAATAATTGAAAAAGGAGAAATTAAAGCAGAGAAGAAAGAAAACGAGATTTAATTAATTTTTGAGGGGCTGGGGGAAGGAAAAGCCTAATCAAGACGAGAAAAAGAGAGTGAGAAGGATGGGAAGAGCTGGATGGGAAAGGGAGGAAAACGAGCGAGAAGGGGAAGAGGGGATGAGCACGAGCGAGGGGCGAGGGGGCGGCAGGCGGGGGGAGCCGGGTACAGACAATGGGGCGCGGCCCCGCCGCCGCCTCCCGCCGGGCGGGGACCGGGGCCGGGAGCGGGGCGGGGACGTGGGCCGGCAGCCCTGAGACCCCCTGTATCCCTTGGCAGGGGGAGATGGCCCCGCTGCTGGCCCTGTGGCTAGTGGCCCTGCTCGGCTTGGCCCGGGCGTGCCCCGAGCCCTGCGCTTGCGTGGACAAGTACGCACACCAGTTCGCCGACTGCGCCTACAAGGATCTCCAAGTGGTGCCCACGGGTTTGCCTTCCAACGTGACCACCCTCAGCCTCTCGGCCAACAAGATCACCTCACTGCAGCGGCGTTCCTTCGTGGAAGTGACCCAGGTCACTTCCCTCTGGTTGGCACACAACGAGATCCGCTCCATCGAGCCTGGTGCCTTCGCCATCCTGGTGCAGCTCAAAAACCTCGACATCAGCCACAACCAGATCGTGGACTTCCCCTGGCAGGACCTCTACAACCTCAGCGCTCTCCAGCTGCTCAAGATGAACAATAACCACATGGCTGTGGTACCTCAGGGGGCTTTCCACACCCTGAAGGACCTCCGGTCCCTCCGCATCAACAACAACAAGTTCACCACCCTTGCTGAGGGGATCTTTGACTCGCTCAGTTCCCTCTCCCACCTGCAGATCTACAACAACCCCTTTGAGTGCTCCTGCAAGCTCCAGTGGTTGAAGAAGTGGATGGACAGCACACTCATCTCCATCCCTGAGAAGGACTCCATCACTTGTGCCCTCCCGGAGCAGCTCCAAGGAGTGCCGGTGGGGAAGATCCCGGATGTGCAGTGCGCCTCGCCCACGGTGCAGCTCACCTATTACCCCAACCTGGACACCACTGAGCTCTTTGACGGCTTCACCCTGACACTGCACTGTGCCGTGACGGGCACCCCACTGCCCGAAGTGAGCTGGAAGATCCGCACCTCCAGCCAAACCCTGGAGCTCAGTGGGAACCCAAATGAGACCGCTGGGAAGGACCAGTCCAAACGGGACCCTGAGCGCTTCTTGGTCTTCAAGAATGGCACGTTGGTGATTCCCCACCTGAGCAAGAGGGAAGAAGGCACCTACACCTGCCTGGCCTCCAATGAAATGGGGAGCAACCAGACCTCAGTCAACGTGGCTGTGGCGGGCACCCAGAAATACCCACTGCAGCCCGGGAGGGACCCACTGGGGGGTAAAGCACAGCCAGGTGACAAGAAGCCTGGGGCCAAGGGAGCGAAGAATAGCGTGCTCACACCAGATGAGAGGAGCAAACCCCTTGGCCCCACCCGCCAGAGCCAACCATCCTTGGCAGCTGGGACAGAGTCCACGGGAGATGGGCAAATCCCTTTCCAGCTGCCACCCTTTGAGAAGAAGTGTGGCTCCACACAAACCAGCAAGTACATCTCCAATCACGCCTTCAACCAGAGCGGCGACTTCAAGCAGCACACGTTTGACCTGGGGGTGATCGCTCTGGATGTGTCAGAGCGCGATGCCCGGGTGCAGCTCACACCCACCTACACGCAGCCCGAGAAGGTCCACCTCAGGATGCTCTACCTGTGCCAGGAGAGCAGCAAGGGCCATGCCTTGGTCCAGTGGTCCAAGATTGAAGAAGGGGTGAACTCGTACTGGTTCCAGGGCTTGAACCCCGGCACCAACTATTCCGTGTGCCTCACCTACCTCGGGGAGGACTGCCAGGTCCAAGTGGTCTTCACCACCAAAAAAGAGATCCCCTCGCTCATCATCATCGTGGTGGTGAGCATCTTCTTGCTGGTGCTGGCCACCTTACCCCTGATGGGGGCCACGTGGTGCCACCTCCTCTCCAAATACCAAGGGAAGACCTACAAGCTCATCATGAAGGCCCAGAACCCAGACCAGATGGAGAAGCACATGGCTGCTGACTTTGACCCCCGTGTCTCCTACCTGGAGTCTGAGAAGAACTACAATCCCAGCGAGGCAGGGGAGGCAGAGGTGGAGGAAGAAGAGGAGGAGGAGGAGGATGAAGAAGGAGGCAGGTGGAGGAGGAGGAGAGAAGCCGAAGGGGCTCCGGAGCTGGAGCGAGAGGAGAGCGTGGCAGCCAGCTCCATGGCGGAGTCACAATCCAAAGCCAACGGCGAGGAGTTTGAGGTGCGCTCTGAGTACAGCGACAAGCTGCCGCTGGGTGCCGAGGCTGTCACCATCTCCCAGGAGATCAACGGCAACTACCGGCAGCGGCCCCGCTGAGCCTCCCCACACCCCGTCCACCCCCACCTCGGCCCCACCTCCTCCCCGGTCCCCAACCCCCGTTCCTCCCGGGGCATCTCTGCTGCTTTTCCTCCGAGGAAAGACGGGAGTATCCTCAGCGATTTCCGCCTGACCCTCCTCCTCCTCCTCAGACGGCAGGACCCCGGGGATGCTCAGTGCCGGCGGGACGCGTTTCCTACGATTTCGTTTCCATTTTGGGTACCGGCAGTCCTTGCTCCCGGCTTAGCGACAACAACGATTCCCGGTCCCCTGGCCGCCTCTGCCCTCCGCTCGCCCCATATTTTCTTTCCCCTTAAAGGAAAAAAACGAAAAAAAAAAAAGATAAAAAACGGGTCAAAGAAAAAAGCCCGATTTCCCCAAACCTTTTTTCCTGGAATTGGTTCAGTCCCCGGTGGGTCCCCTCCGCTCTTCGGTCCGGTCCCGCCGCTCCCTCGGTCCCCGGTGAGTCCCCTCTGCTCCCCGGTCCGGTCCTGCCGCTCCCCGCTCTGGCCCCGCCGAACCCCCGCGCGAACCCCGCCGGAGCCCGGAGCCGTCCGCACCGTTCCTCGGCGTTATCCTCCCCGCACCGCTTCCCGGTGGATGCCCGCCGCGCCTCGGTCCGGTCCCCGCCGCTCTCCGGTGGGTGCCCGTCGCGCTGCGGCGCATCCCTATTTTCCCCGGTGGACACCGGTGGGTGCCGAGATTTCCCGGTCTCTGCCGCTTCCCGGCGGTGCTCTCTGCTCGCCGGTGCGTCCCGGGGCTCCCCGGTTCCTGCCGCTCCTGGGAGGTGCTTTCCGTTCCCCAGTGGACACTGGAGGTCCCCGCTCCCTGCCACTCCCGGGGGTCCTCTCCGTCCCCCGACGGGTGCCGGTGCTCCCCGTGCTCTCCCCGTTCAGCACTCGGAGAGACCGGACAGCTCCGCGCCCCCCGCCCGCACCCCGAGGTGGCGGGGGCGTCCCGATCCCCCCTCCCCGGTCCCAGCCCCGGTCCCGGCAGGGCCCCTCGATGTGTTTTGGGTAGAGTAGCCTTGTAGCCAAGTGTCTGTGCCGTAGACGCGCCCGCGCTGCTGGCGGGCGGGCGGGCGGGCGGGGGCCCGGTCCCGGGAGGCGACGGGTCGCCGCCGCCGCCGCCGCCCCCAGCCCCACTCCCCGCGAGCCCCGGCGCCGGGGAGAGCCGCGGGCGCCCTTCTACGAGCTTCTGTCTGTGAAAGAGTCAATAAAAGGGATTGAAAGTGGAGACGGGTCTGTGCTCGATGGGGACGAGGGGGAGGTCGCGCCCGGTGCCCCCCGTGTTGCCCCCGGTACAGCCCAGTGCGGTCGAGGGGACACCAAGGAGGTGGCAGACGGCGCAGAGACACGTCGCCACAGCTACCGGCAAAGCACCCACACACATTATAAATATATATATTTCTACCCATAAACCGTGCACACATGCGGTATACATATTATATTTTTGTATATACATATTATATATAAATTCACGCTCATAATATATATAAGTACTTACACTGTATGTACATGCACACACTCCTTTTATACATCCACACAGGGTTTATAAGCACAAATAATTGTTGTAATCACTCTGCTATGCCTTTACACATGTTACACACTTTGTACATATGCAGTGTCTACACACATTATAAATACATATAAATTCAGTGTATATAGGAAACTATAATAACTCAAATGTATTATATACCGTGTAGACATACTGTCTATAAATTCGCTATATAGAAAAATGCAAATAATATTTTCCCCTGGCACACGCATCCCATACATGTGGAGTAAGAATATATGCAATATATATACACAATGTATCTCATTTATATAACCTCTGTGTATCTATAATAAGTGTGCTCAACACATGTACAAATACATGCTAAATGCCCACATTGCCCATGTATACACAAGTTTTTTCTCCCAACACTTGTCTCCCTGCACCTTGCCTGGCAGGGTTAGTGTCACCCCAGTCTTAAGGTGTTCCCAGCCCGGAGATTGGGGGTGCTACGAAGGTGGCTGGTGGATTTATGCTCCCCATTTCATCTGGCTGATGATTTCAGCCCATAATTACACAGTCAAGATTTAAGGCTGCCTTTGATTGCTTTTCTTATCTGGAGCTACAAAGCCACATGCCCTCCTAGTGTCCCCGCTTGAGAGGCGGCGTCCCGTCATGTGGGGACAGTCACCCACCCCCCAACCCCCACTGATGCCCCCCTCAGGTTCCCCAAAATCAGCCTCCGCAACCCAGCAGATCCCCGCCGAGCAAACACTCCTTTCTCCACCCTCCTGAGAAAAATTCCTATTTTAAACTCCAGCCTCTGCATCTTTCTCCTGCGACGGGGAGAGTGGGGGAGGCAGACAAAGCAGGTCAGCGAGCAAAGAGGTGGCGGGCAGGAGGGGGTCCCACCCAAATCCCCCAAATCCTGGGAATTCGAGGCTGCTCTGCACCAGCCCAGGTGTTTGCTGCAGCTTTTAAGACCCTGTGCCAAGCAGAGACTCCCCCTTGTAGACAAATCCCCTCCTGTGAATACACTTATAATTGAGTTTCATGCTTAGAAACATAGAAGGAATAGAAAAGAACAATCATTTTTCCCTCCCTTTAATTAGAGAATAATAGATTTTCCCCGCCTAACGTATCTACAGGGAATCTTGATGCTGGATTATGCTGAGATTTGCTCCTTTTCAGGAGGGCTCTAATTAGTAGCCGGTGCCCAAAGGCACAAAAAGTGGTCAAGGATGGAGCTCTGCATACTCCCACCCCCTCCGTGTCCGGGGGGGGGGGAGGGTTGGAAAGGGTTTCTCCCGGAAAGGGTTTCTCCTGGAAAGGGTTAAAGCATCCTGGGTGGATGGCTCAGCCCCTCCTAAGGCATTTAACCCTTCTGCACATACCGCCACCAGCCCAGGATTGAGTGGGATGTGCCCACGCGTGATGGTGACAAGCTTACACCCACACAGCCTGGGCTGTCATGCACGTGGTGTCACCTAAGCTGTGGGGAGGTGTCTGTCACCCTTCTCCCAGGACGGCCCCAAAAATAAAGAAGCTGTCACACACCACACCCTCCCTTCCCAAATTATGGCTTATCCTGGATCAAAAAGGGGTTGTGCCTTAGTGGGGTTACAGGTAAGAGTTTTGGGCCCCCATGGGAGTGGTCGGAGCAGCATCTTTCCCCTGCTCTGTGGGTTGAATTAGGGTTGGTCCCCTGTATAACCCCTATCCTGTGTCCTTCACTGGTCCACAGCCCCTGCTCCCTTCCAGGTGGGCTCTGAAGGTGTTCAAGGTGGAGGGGTTGATGGATCATTTCCCTCTGCCTCTCTCTGGAGTGATGGGCGCTGCCAAGATCAAGCCCAGGGATTCAGGAAGCATCCCCCATGCTGGCCTTGTCCGTGGGAGCATCACACCCAAGAGGGACAGTGACAGATCCCCCCAAATGCCTTGCAAAACAGGTACTGAAGAAAATCCCTGGCTCTCCTGGTGTGCCAGCACAGCCCCTGGGCAGCAGCCACACTGCGAGCCCGCCCCATGAACTGCTCTAGATTCAAAACAATCCCCTTCTGCCTTGCACAGCACTATTTTTAACCCCAAGCCTGTTCACAGCCCGGCCTCAGCCACGGCTGCGTCAGCACAAGTGTGAAGACAGGGAGCTGTGGCTGCCATACACGGAGGTGAAGCTCTCCCAGGGGGATCCAGCTCCTCCTCGCTCCACCTTCATCTTCCTCATGGGCTTTTACAAATAGGTTCTGGCTTGCTCAAGGATGGAGGTCCTTGCACCTCCAATCCCAGCCCCACAGCAGGAAGCTTTCCTACTGGAGATGCCCCAGTTTGGCCAGTATGGGAGGGCAGGGAGCAAGGACCTGCTCATCTTCCCAGCTCTGGATGCTCATCCCTTCCCCAGTGGTCCTGCCAGGCTGGAGGATAGAGTCTACAAGATAAAATCCCCATCACTCACTTTTAAAAGCTTTTATCAGCAATTTATTGCAGGGCCAAGGAGATGACTCTGGGTGACAACTCCAGGTGACCTCCCTGTACCTCGACAGCTCTGGGTGACCTGCTGGGACCTCAGCATCTCATCCTCCTTCCTCCTCTCCCCGATGTAGCATCTGAGCTGCACCCTCCTTCCCACCCTGCTCTGGCCCCGCACAGCCCCTCAGCAGTGTCATCCTGCCACTCCCAAGCCCCCAGAGCCCTTCACCCCCCTCAGAGACAACTCACCCATGTCCTCCAGAAGCCGCTCGCTCTCTGCCTGTCCCCCAGATGTCCTCTGCAAGGGGTGGGACAGGATGGACCCCGAGATATAGGACTTGGGGGGCAGAGGTTTTATGAGGAAGGAGATTTGGGGGGCAGAGGTATGAGGGAAAAAGGTTTGGAGGGCAGAGGACTGGGGGCAGAGGGGGCCGGGCTCCGACAGCAGCCCCCGGGGGAGGCGGGCGGGTGGAGGAAGGGCCCCCGCAGCCAGGAGTGGGTCGGTGCCATGGAAAACAAAAAGGGCCCGGGGGACGGGGAGGGGAGGAGAAGCCCGACGAGGGCCGAGGGAACCGGCGGTCCTGTTTTCCCCCACTCCAGAGGAGCGAGGGTGACCGGGCTCCCTCTCCGCGAAGCTGCCGGTGACGGGGCAGGGGGGGCCGGGGCGGGCAGCGGGGGGCCAGGGACCAGCGGGGCCGGGGGAACGGGCTGGTCGGGCCGAGGAGGGAGGGAAGGAGGGAAGGAAAGAGGGAGGGTGGTTATTCACGGCTCTGGTATGCGGCGTGCGGGCCCTGCTCACACCGCCCCCGGGCTGCCTCCGCCCGCCCCGGCCGCGGGCAGCGAGAGGCGGCGGGGAGAGGTAACTGCGCCCCGGGGGATACTGGCGGGGGTGGGGGGGAAGGATGGGAGGGAGCCGGGGTGGGGGTGCTCCAGGAGCTATAAAGATGCAGGACCCCCCCCGCTCCTCCCCCCGGTGCTGCGCCGCCAGCCCTGCTCCCCCCGCATCCCGCAGTGTGATGGGGATCTGCCCCTCACTGGGCAGCTTGGACTGGGACAGCCACGGGACACCCCCAAATTGCACCAAGCAAGCGCTTCAAAGGCAGCAGTCAAGGACAGACACCCCCCCCAGCAGCCCTCCATCACCCCCAGGGCCAGCGGGGCTCCTTCCCCATCCCTCGAACCGCAGGACTGGGGGGTTCAATCCCTTCAGGGTCCTCCCTTTCTGTGCCTGTCCCATCCCTCTCCCTCAGTTGTGCATGTCTTATTCAGCTTCTCCATTACCAATAAAACGTCCCCCCCTCCTGCTTTAAATGACAGGGTTGGGAACTGGAAAGAGCAGCAAAATTTGCCTACAAGGCAGAGACAAAGGGGTCTGGCTGCCAGCTCCTCGCAGAGCTGCACTTAACCTCTTCCCTGGTGGGACACAGCCTCCAGACGCCGGGAGCTGAGCACGCACCATCCCCTTTGCAAGGCAGGAGGGAGGGGAGTAAGGAGTTAGCTCAGAAATATTTCACTCTAAAGACTTCCAGCAGCCAGGGACCCCACACTCCCTTGCTGAGAAAAAGCACTTGAGAAGCTGGTTTTTTCCATGACATGGAAAAATATGGAGATGGGGGCTTGGTTTGTGGTCTGAGAGCCTGCTGAAAATCCCAACAGCTTGATGGTTTAGGGGAAAGCTTGTTAGGAAAGAGCTGTGGTTGCTCTGTTTCTCTTAATTCCACTCTCAGCAGGGTGAACTCTGAACCCGTGGAAACAGCATCTTGGGGGTTGTATTTCATCAAAGATCAGGAAAAGATATCTTCTAGTGAGGGAAGGAAAGGGTTTAGGGGGAAGTTCCCCCCTCATGCAGTAGTTGAAGGCTCTGCTCTTAGTGAGGAAATGCCTTCTGATAAGGGAATATTTCAAACGGTCTTTTCCAGCCAAAGTTCTGGGGATAAGCACATGGATGCTTTGTTCTTCTGTGCTTCCTCTTAGTATTTGGCAAGAAAAAGCAGATCCCCTTCTCGGCTAGACCCATCCCGTTCATTGCCCCATCTCTGTTCCCAGGAGGAAGGATGAGGCCCCTGCTCTGCTGCCTGGTCCTGGCTGCACTCCTGGGGCCCTGCCTGGCCTGTCCCAGCCCCTGTTCCTGCTCCACCAAGAAAAACGGGCGGTTGTTGGCCGAGTGCGCCTACAAGGATCTCCAGGAGGTACCCAAGGGGTTGTCCTCCAACGTGACCATCCTCACCTTGTCGGCCAACAGGATCGGCTGGTTGGGGCAGGGCTCCTTTGCTGAG